AAAATTTACTTCTAAAATAAGTCCGGAAAGGCATTTCTGATAAACATCCCTATCTCTGGTGACCATCCGTAAACGTTCCCGGGCTTCTTTAAGCAACATCTGCCAAAGCTGTATAATTTATAGGACATACTTCAATGTGGTTTTCTCTGCTCTGCAAAACCTTAAGACGAGACTGATTTTTTAAGTTCGAATCCTGACTAAATAAAGACAAGTATGGTAAGCCGGAGGAAAACCTACATTTTCTTTGTCAGTTCTATTTGTTTTTCCTTTTTTGAGTAGTACTCCATTATTTTGAGCCGTTGGTTTTGTACTAGACGGGACTTTTCTATTTGAAACTCTTCTTCGGCCTGCAGAAGTTTATAATATCACTAGACAACTAATCAACGAACCTTGGCATCTATTTCCTCCACCTTTTCTCGAGCTTCCTGGTCTATAAAGGCCATCATGTGGCGAATCTTAATAATGTGGTAAATACAAATCGTAGAATTAGGTTACCTGGCGTTGCACTTCTGTATCATTTAACGTCATCCTTATAGCTGATTACGTTGCTCAAAAATGGGAGGGACTTTGTAACAGCCGCCGTCAAATAAACGATACGTTCGTATTTAACTAGTGAGTTCGTGTGATTAATTTGATCCTCCTTACACTCGTCTCGCTAATATTTTATAAGTCACTATCTTCATTAGAGTCTTGTGTGTAACGCTAGTCAGTTTGGCAATAACTGTTTTAGTGGATTCAGCCAACCGAAGACTGTCAGCTTATCAGTCCTCAATAATAAGGGAAGTAGGTCGATGAACTTGTTTTAATTCTTGCAGTTTGCTTTCCAGTGAAAGTCCAGTATCTCTTCGAAAATATTTATTGATGGGACTGATATCACTTATTCGGGTGGGACGTTCCAGGCATTGACCACTCGATGAGAAATACGGAACCTCACTCTAAGTTTATTAAGTTACGGTTTTTGAACGTTCTTGCTATGGCTTCGAAGATTATTAGTTCTGGAGGAGGCAAAATGATAAGACATGTTAACATCAAAATCCTTAATAGAGATAGGGAATACCATTATATGAGGTCACCATGCGTCCAGGTTACGATAAGGGGAAAAGGTTCAGACTTTTGAGCTCTCATCGTAAAGTAGTTTGGAAAGACTCTTCGTTAATTCTATTCATGCTCTGAATACACTCAGTTGACTCAGTATAATTAATAAGACATGAACCGGCTGCTTGGATATGGTACTCTAAATGTGGTCATACATAGGTGGGATATAAAATTCGGAACATCTCGTCGAAGCTTTGGGATGCTGAGCAAGGTGACCATAACCCACGAAAACCATGTAGCTGTATATAAATCCCCAAAATCAATAGCTCATTAAGTGTTCGAAATTGGATGCTAACCACGTTGTTTAAGTGGACTTGTTTAACTGAAGGCTTTCGGTCATGCATCCGTACCAGATCACGTTTTGACTCGGCGTGGGACACAGCTCCTACGTTTCACTAGATAGCTAAGAACAAACGCCTCTCGATATATTTGTAACGTATCAAATATATCTTTCCTACCTCTTCTCGTCTGACTTAGGCGTAAGTAGTTTTGAATATAGGTGTTACTGGCCGCTAGTTGTCAAACTAGAATACCAGTCGTATCTTCAACCCTATGTGGCTGCTGCTTTTCAATGTCTAGCTGTCTTCAAGTCGTGACTTACTATCACCCCTAAGTCATTATGTTCCTGCACACATGTTGGTTGTTTTATTTCACAGTACTATAACCATCCACACATAAATGAGTAAAGCGGACGTATCAGGAAACATTTTCTCCTCAGTTGGCATCACACTCGCCGAAGTTAAACAATAGAAGGTAGACATCAAACTTCTAGGCAGGATCTGAGTTACCGATTATGCACAGGCTTTAGTTATGTAATTATACAACCGAATCTGATCTTCCAGAACATATGTAAACCACTTTCAAATAACTACCGGATGATTTTGTTTTCACGCCTTAAGTGGCCCTCAGCTGACTCCAGTTTACGTCGAAAGAATGTAGGTCCGTAGATAACTTCACATACATATTCATCGACTGCTTACTCTAGATATTACTGAACAAGTGTTAATGCAGCTCGAAGTTGACGGTGGGTACTTTAGTTAAGGGGATGGACAATGGAAGAAATAAATGTGTCAATGCAAATAGGAACACGTTTAACCTGTATGTGTAGAACTAACAATGATTCGGATAAGAGAAGTACCTATATTGAAGGTTGCGAGCGCTTATTATGAGAATAGTGCACACCACCGGACCTCAATATGATCAAAAAATAGTGAATACCGATGAAAGATATGTTTTGTTTGTTCCATTAGTAACAACGTAAATATAAGTAGTCAGACATAAAGATGTTCGGAGAAATATTCTGTGATATAGACAAACAACAGAAGTTGAAGAGTAATGCATATGAACTGGACTGGCACAAATAACCAAATCGATGAATAGTATGTGACTCAGCATTTGCATAAAATGAATGATGTATAAATCATAGGAAGCCAATAAGAGTAGTGCTAGGGACGCAAGAGGTAAGCACATGTAAAAGTCTACATGATATATTTGGCAGTGTCATAGGTTATCAGGTACATAGAAAGGTAATATGATCCCCTACCAAGTTACAACGACAATTTTGGTGATCAGGTAAAATAGACTACCTAGTTATATGATGAGAGATACTATGGACAGCGATGAACTGTTGTTTCTATACTGACTGTGACATGCAGACGATTTTGAATCAGAAACAAAAGCGAAAATTATGTTGGATTTTTGAAGTTAGTACCATCTGAATGACCATTACGCATTGTCGGATAGTTGAACTCACTGCTAGGCTTTGGCCATATCTTTGACTAGCTTAGTAGGATATCGAGTACATCATTCAGCAACCTTCTGATACAGTAGGTTAGGCTGGCCTTGGATATTTATTGATACGCTAGAATACATCAATATACGGAACGAAACTTTAAAGTTCTCCACTGGCTACTGTTTTCCAGAATGGGGCTTTAGAATTGACTAGTACTTCCTATCGTTAACCATCAAGATAGTCCTTAATGCATTCAGACACATAAACACAGTCTTACAGGCTTTTCAGCCTTCATAGAAGTCTAGTATGTAGAACTTTACCAGATGCTTCGGCACAATTGACGCCGGTTACATGTTGTAACCTGGATTCCTTGGCAGACCCTCAACAGCGAAAAAAATTTCAGTACATGATAAACTCTTCTTAAATACACTTTATGTAGATAAATCTAACATTTTCATTATTTTACCACCATACATACTACCCTAATCATTCATTTGGTCGATTGACTTGTCAAACAACAGTGACCCTTTCTAGAATCGTGCAGTCATTATCCGGTGAGGTTAATTGATGAGGTGATTTCAATTACCATAAAAAAGCAAACGAAGGATTCCACGGATAGTATACAAGCTGAAAATCCATTGCTATTGTCTCCTCAAACAATTGGAATGTAATGGTCAGTCTTTCTGTTATCATTGGCTGTTAAGATGCATTACTGAGAGTGAAGTTATTTATCTCATCACAAGTCCTTGAAAATCAATCTTCTGGCCTATTTACTATATCTATATGAGTCACTACTTCAAATTCATTTCATTTTGTTGAATAACTCGTCTTAAAATCTGCTAATCTAAAGTACGGTTCATTACAATTCAAGGATGCTTAAAAATTTGCTAGTAAGTTGCTGTCCGAATTCGCCATCACCACACTTCTACGAAGCTGGTCATTATTACATAGTCCTGTCGGGAAATTGATAGTGTAGTCCAACATGTCTTTCATTTAGGTATTTCAACCTCCACATATACAGTTAGGGTTGTGTCTTTGCCCTGTTACATTCTTCCGGTGTAAAGTCTTTGTAGGCTTCTTACATTCATTGTACTACAAGCAGCAAGCGAAGGAAAATCTGGGTCAATATAGCGTTCAAAAGTTTATGATAAAATAATTTCGATGAGTTGAGGAAAGTCCTCAACTATTCATAAACTTTAGGAAAAAAGCGAACAAATATTAATAACGTTAAACAAGGAATACTCTGTGAATCTGAAATAATATAAAGAAATAGTACCAATCCAAAGAAGTTTAGAACTTTGACTGGGCACAATTAGAAAACGAAGTTGGAAGTATACTGTATATGATTGCATTGTATTATAATGATCGGTTTAAATACAACATAAGATGTTTAACCATATAGCAGATTTGTTATTCACACTCTCTTTTGAATAAAAACCTTATGCTGTGTGGAAATAATAAAGGAATTGAAGCCATGGTAAGACTACTCTCCCTCGTCTTTAAAATGTCATTTTTTTATCCTTGTATAGATCTATCAAATAACCTACGACAAAAGTTTTTAATCAGTGGATGCTGATAAATGAAAGCACAAAATCTATTACGGTTCAACATGCTCGAGGTCTCCCCTTCGAATAATTCAAAGCCATATATCTTAACATGTATGCTTCACTGCTCTTCACCGCATTACTATTGTTTTATTGATAGTTATCCGGAAACTTTCAAAGTTTCCAGAAGACTCGAGACCTAACTTAGCTAAAGTACAGGTAAGAAGTTGAAATTTGGTGTTGATGTTATAGATATTTCGAGAAGCGTTTGATCTAAGCTGACTAACGGTTTTAGGAGATGTGTAACACGACATACTCATTTGTGCATGTGGGTAACCGAACGCGTTAAGCTAGACGTGTCTATTAAAATTAATGAGGCCAGCACCAAATGTCGACGTCTTCCAGAATTATTTAATTCTGGAGATTTATAACCGTTACACAATCGACCTTCGGCCTGATAACGTGATAGCTGCTCATATCCAGGACTCATAATCTACTGAGACGATCGCACCCGCTTGAAACACAAGATAAACAAATCCTCGAGTAAATACCAAACTCATAAGAAGTAGTGTAATAGAAGGATCAGACTACCACTTTTAGACATAACCAAATACTTGGAAATGCACCGAGGCAACAAGAAGCGATTGCGAAATATTAATTGATTTATAAAAGCTCGTGACGAAGAGATTTAAGAAGCTGTTTCCAATGTGTTTCGGTAGAAATGTTGAAGCGGTTTATTGCATTAAAGTTCAGCGCTTGTTTCTATGACTGCGTTACGTTATGTCCGATGCCGAAGTTTATGATTCACTTGAGAAAGATATTCAGAAGGAAATATCAGACAAACTGTCTGTTGCAAAAGAATGGGGAAGTAAGCTTTCTGTGGTATTCCTGAACCACTGTCGTAGGTTATATTTTTTCAAAAGCCGTGAAGTCAAGTGAGGAAGCGGTTAAAAGACTTAGTGATCGAATAGATTTAACCGAAATCAAATCAGTTGTGAGTGATGTGACAGCTTCTGTTAAACAGGTGAGATTTTCTCAAAGCCCATATTTACATCGTTCCTATTTTTTGTACGTATGTTTCCGAATAAATATTCACTAGCACTTATCAATAAAAGTGCTTTATTGGATGTAAATGTCTGGTTTTTGTCTTTCCAATGCCCAGTTGAATTTTTAACGCAGTAAGATTTATGTCTGACATATCTGTATCAAAGGTAAAACGAGTTTGTTCCCCGAGTTACAGTCTGAAATCTCAACAGTATGATGAGACTCCAGGGAATCGTGTTTCTCACTTGGATTACGGTAACCTGAACAAAATTTCCGAACGACATATTCAAGTGAAGAAAACCAGTCCTCTGAATTATGTCATTATGCTCCATTACAAACTCAGTGAGGATGCATGTCGGTTATCGTATTTTCTTTTGTTAAGTAAGTGTAGCCCAGACCATTCAACAGTGCGGAGGACTCTTATTCTTCTTAATTGCAATTCTATTAATTTATTCTATTGAATGTAATCAATTAAATGTTCGTCAGATCCTTCAGGACTTAATGTTTGTGGTGATTGAACAACAGATTGCATTGCCATAAGGCTTCCAGACTCTCATTATCAATTAATCGGTTTAACTTAAAAAAGATATATCAGGAATGTTACTAGGCTTTACTCCTTGTCTGTATTGATGTCATCAAGTCTCGAAAAGCGTTTGGTTGGTTTTTGATCAATATTACCTTCAGCCAGATATTCATTCGCTTCAAACTCAAAACTAAACTGATCACAGTCCGACGAATTCAACTTTTATTAAACCAATTCAATGTGTGGATGGTTTGCACTTTCTTTGTTCTCATAGATCATGCTCTCCTCACTAAGTGTTCCTCCTATCTGGGTAGTTATCTTGCGACATAACTTACGTTCACTAATTCCCTTTCACATTCAACTTGTATTTTTATCCTACCATATTTCCCCTTCAGTTCTACCAAGTCTGACGCATGATTCATTTATAAACGAATCAGTCTTCTTCTTAAACAATCGAATAAAGTCAACTTTGCTGCTGTGCTTAATATCACTGCTGGTTTTAAAAACATGACAAAGGACTAAACGGTATTTTCTATGATACGGAAGAGTTACTTTCGAATTCGATTCCAGTTACATTCATCATCCGGAAACGTTTTGGATGCAACTCATCGAAGTTTGTTCATCTTGCAGATAGCATTTTAAGGAAGACCAATCTCTAAAATCATGAAGTATCAGCTTCGGCTTATCATATATTTGAGTCTAACACTTCTTCATCTCTTTAGTGCCTACATCTTATTGTTTTTTTTGTCTGCAATTAAATAAAATGGTGGTTCTATGTGACCCATTGTCGTGTGAGTACCAAATTGTTGCTCCATTTGACTCGGCCATAAGATGGTATAAAATCAACAATTTTGCTTCAGGTACTCACCGTGATCTTAAAGCCGCGTTACTCGCCTGTTTCTTTCAAAATAATGATTATGGTAGATAACAGTATATACAAGTATAGTCAAAACGGTGGCAACTATTTAGCCTACTTCTTCCCAATCAGGATTTCGTTGATGATAATCTTATTGTGTTTCATATAACTTTAAAAGGGTGGTTTATGTCAAGGTAGAATAGAATAAAACGCTTACGTTAATATTTTAAATTTTGAATCCTAGAAGACAGCAGTTCATCGATTCAAAGAAAATTTGTGATAAAGGAAGTAAGGGAGTCACATACACAGATTAAGGGTTGAGTGAGTTAACGTCCCGTAAAGTACCTTTCATGACTCATCATTTTCTCTTCATTTTTTTCCTCATAACGTCAGGTCAAGTCAACTTTGAATTGCTCTACACATATTTTCTGTCCACCTAATTTCCCTTGCATAAACACATTTGTGCTTAAAAAGACCAAAGTGTTATTCTCATCTATTCCTACAAAGATTTATTAACTCATGCACGATTGAAATTCTGCAAGTGTTTTTCGTGTAAGCACAAATATGCGGACGATGATCAGTAACGATAGTTTGTTTGTGTTCTCTTTTTTTATCAACGATTGCTAAGCTAGACCATTAAGAATCACGGCTTAGTGACTTGAGTTTTTAGATTAATAAGATGTATGGATCCAACGCTAATCAATATATCCAGTGCAATGATGCAACGCAACCAAGCGACGACGACTCACGAGACTAAGTTGTTGATGGGAGCATACAAATAAACAAATATCAGAAAATAAGACATGCCCAGTAGAAGAGACTTTCTTTTATTTAATGAGGTAACTTGCTTATGTGAAAAGTGTTAAACACAAAAATACACATGATTATAAGTTATTTAAAACGTAAGCGGTTGGAAGATATAGATTTCATGGGTTACTCAAGTGCCGGTAAGATTAAGACCTATTAAACTTAATTCTTACCCGACGTATCGTATACATTATCTTGACTTATATTTAACGTTATTATTGGTTGGGAGGGAGTCGAAACGAGATTCCGGAAAGCAATCGTAGTTATTGACTCATTGATACGAAATATTAAGTCTCTCTCTCTCTACCATATTTTATTTTTCCTGCTTTGATCTATTTACTTCCTCGCCGAAGTCAACAGATGGTATAGCCTCATTTGTACGCTTTACACTTTGGCCTTCGACAGAATTCATCCTTCAAAGTTCTTTCAGTCGGTGTGCATATATTAGCATTTTTTATGCTTCACGTTTTATTAGGACTTTAGTTCACCAGATTGTAGTTGACTGTCGACTGGAACCCAATTAGTTATATTAACTTCAATTTATAGCAAATCATAAGCTCGTTCTCGCTTCTGTGAGACGTGCATTGAACTTCAGGAACTCATTGAGTGCCTTAAATGCAACAGGGTCCCCACGTGATTTTAGAATATTAAAGATTCCCATTGTGAAAATTAGAACAACAATTGTTTTCAATTATTATTATTGATTATTGACTCAAATAGCCTTGATTGGTCTAACATTTTCATATAAATATTCATGTATGCCTGATGACGATCTAATTGAAAACAATTGTTCGCTTACATGTGTTGTTCTAATTATATTAACTTCCTCATGCAGAGCATAATATTATCCCACCCATAAGCAGTTGACTTGTTTTTTCTGTAAGTGAATAATTTTAAATCATCAAATCTTATGCTGTTTCAGTTTATATTCGGCTTTTTTTGCAAAATTTTTCAACTATTACTGTCTATAAACTCAGTAAAATTCCTATCTTTCTATATTTACGAGGTCCCACTCATACGTGAATTTGAAAAAGCTCAAGCTGACTTTGCTGTAGAATCTCAAAATAAGAATGAAGAAGCAATTCGTTTTCGTTCATCATCTCAATCTGAATTTCCACCATGGCATCCCGATATATGCGGATTAAGTGATTCTGATGCATTGTCTTCACTGAAAGAACAAATTTTAGCTTTAAGTCAAAATCCAAATAACTTTCTTATTTCTCCTCCTGAAGAAGCTCAACTTAAATGGACATCACCAATACCTGACAATTTATTACGTGAAGCTCAAATCCTTTTAAAAGAAGATCCTAATTTAGGTTCTATAAGGTATCGACTTGTCCCTAGCAAGTAAGTTGTGCATACTAATTGATCTGGAAGTTAACCTCTCCAAATCACTTATCATGGTCTAGCATGTTAATAACTATCCAAAAAATATATGGTTTAATTTTTTAGTCATTGTGTTACACAAAGGAAGGCCACGAACTTGATCCAAAGTAGAAACGCGCACTTAGTGTGTTTCTGATCTCTCCATCTCGTTGTTTTACTGAGACTATTAAGAAGTATTCCACCAAAAAGATCCATGTTATGATCATAGTCAATGGATTTTCCTAATTTTTTTGTTTTCATATAAATTCGTTTCTGTCAATCAATCAATGTAGCTTCATAGTTTATTAGTTAATGCACTCGACTGTCAAACCATATATTTTAGATTCAAACGTTAACCTATATGTACTTCAGTTCAGGCAGGTTATGTAATGTCACTAGCCTTCACAGTGGATCTCGAGCATGAATTTATTTATTTATTTAAACACATAAATATTGGTACGAAAAAGCACCAGATAAATATGCGCCTCACAAATCTCATTCGATTTGTGTGAGGGCTGTGATACTGCGCAGGTGCCCAAACTGAAGCAGGTGGTTTTCTTAGGGGGCCACACTCGGAGCCTTTGATCTAAAGGCCTAGTCCACAAGGCAGTGGAGCATCGTGAGGCGATGCAGTCCCATGGTAGCCGGTGATCAATGATTGATTCATACGCCATTTGTTCCTTCAGGATACTGGAGCCCATGTGCACCATTGGTTTGAAATGAGGGTTTTCCAACTCCCCTAGGTGAACTTTCCCTGCCCACCAACCCGGTTAAAGCGCCGGACATTCGCTTTTCGTCCTTTCACTTTTGTGAACAACACCCCTGCTGAGAGAAGTCAGTGAGTAGGACTTCTCTGTCAGAGGCTATATATTCGCGTGGCCATATGAGAGCATTTCGAGAGAGCAGACTCTCCCCACTCTCGGCCGTACTAGGGCATTTGGGGGCCGAGCATGAATACATGAACCTTTATTTGATGAATGACTTGAATTAATATATGATGCTTTTATACAAACTTGCTCAATTCATATTAGTGAGTTATATCTTTTTTGATAAGTGATTTTGGTAATTTTTATTTCATCGTGATTGTTCTTACAATGTTATGCTACTGAATCCCAACTGTAAGTAAATAGATGATCCAAATACATTCTCAAAGACTAGACATCACTTTCGTGTTACCTGTGGTAAACGTTACACAGAAATGAGGAAAGACTATACTTAACCATCAAGTATGAAGTGTTGTTTTTCTTTTTCTGCTAAAATGATATGATTATAATGTTGGTTGACTCGGTATCCCAACACTAAACGTAACCGACACTTTGAAGGTAACGATAGTTCAAAAACTTATGTTCTTAATATCGTCTGCCTATCGATCAACTTTTTTCCAGTGGTTAATTGTTCAAATTACTGTGATAATTGGCTTATTACTTGGATTCTGTAATACGTATACAGTTAATTATGTGTTGACAACAAATATTTCACAGTTTTGAACCATAATTGTTCACCAAAAATGAGAGAACTATCCTACCAACTATGCAACTCTATAAACATCAATTGTATGTGTGTGGATGATTTTATCATTAATATCTCTATGCTGACAGAATCACCGCTTCCAATACATGCACAGAAATGCACACAAGCCAAGTTAAATCCTTGAATTTTAAGCTTCATGAATTTTCCTGATTATTGGTAGAGGAGTTTCTACCGATCTCCCTTACCAGTTTTCTTTGTGTCATTATGATTAGTTCTCAAATGGAACCAGAGTTTATTTGCCTAGTACATTCAACATAAATAGATTAGGATAAAGGGAGAAGGGGACATTATGGGAATTCTTAATTAAAAACAAAATCAACGGTGATATTTCTTCATTCTTATGCTTCACAATTTTAAATCAGTTTTGTACACTATTACCTTCCATTTTTCTACTGTAGAATAAGTGAAGAGATATTTTGGAGGAATTATTTCTATCGTTTATCCTTAATACAACAATCTGCTAGCCTCTCTGTTGTTATGGACAATACTCATCAACCAAGCATCAGTAATAATGGTGGTATTACAAATGATAACAATGTATCTGACACTGATTTTGTATGCATTGAACAAAGTATGTATATTGTTATTCGGTGAAATGTTTATACTTCATTTGCATTTAGTATGATAAAACCTTATTTCAATCAGTTATGTTGGTATAGATTCCTTTTGATTTCCATAAAAATAAATGTACTGTGATCGGATTCAAATCTTTGATTCATTGCGATATTATTAGTTAATCTAAAATAGATGTCTTACTGTTGATATTTTAATTTCATTTAACTACGTAAACGTCTGTTGTACGTTGGTTTTTGTCTGTGCCGGTTGTGGCACAGTTAAGATGTTTGCTTTCTACCAAAGAGTGAACATACTGATCAGCAGTTCGCTTTTTGCATAACTTATTATAACAGAAGGTATGTATAGGCTGTAAGTATTTGATCCTAATTGTCTTTAAACCATTGTTCGTTCAGTGTACATCCATTAAATGGGAAATGCTGAAATTAGTCGTGAAGTAATGGGTTAGAATAGCTAGTCGATGGACGAAATTACAAGCTTTTATCGACCTAGGTAATTAGGATGTGTGTCATGCATGCCTAGTGACTGCCTACTCAGACATACTGTTAACGAGAACACCAATGGGGACAAAAAAATGTATTTGAATATAAAACTACAGAATTTCTTAGTAAAATCTGAGAACCATACAGTAAATACTTCATTTGCAAGATGTCAATCAACTGTCTCAGACTTGATTGTTCCTTCGTTTCCATATCAATCGTTCTCTGTTCTCTTTCTCTTCGTTTCGATCTTTTTAACCTTCTGCCGCCAGGTATTTCATTTTCTATTGGTAATACATACTACTTAAATCTGTCGACATCAGTAGCACACACCACAATAGGATAGTATCTACTAATCGTTAGCAACAACTTTCTTACATATTATTATCATTATTATTATTACTGTTTATATTTTACTCTTTTAATTTTTAGATCCTATTTGGTCTAAAATGAATACAAATCTTAAAGAAAAAGAAAAATCAAAAGAAAATCAAAAATCAAATAATTCTTCTATGAAATCAAAAATAACATCAGACAAATCTTTAAAAACTTCATCATCTAAAGAGAAATCTAAAATGAATTCAACAAACACTACAAAATCTTCACCAACTTCTATATTAAACAATTCACAAAATAACGATAGTTCTTCTCATATTTCTTCTAGTGAGTATTATATTTGTGTATGATATGAATGTATTTAATTGATTTATTAGAAGTTAATAGTTCATTTAATTTTTATGTGTAGGATATGCCCTGGTACGGTTGAAAGTGGAGAGAGTCCGCTCTCCTCGAAATGCTCTCATATGGCCACGCGTATATAGCCTATACCAGGGAAGTCCTACTCATTGCCTTCTCGTGGCATCACTGTTGTTTACGAAATTGAGATGACGAAAGCAAATGTCCCGCGCTTTCACCAGGTTAGTGAATACGGAAGATCCACCCAGGGGAGTTGGAAAACCCTGATTCAAAACCAATGGTGCACATGGGATCCAGTATCCTGAGGGAACAAATGGCGTATGAACCTGCTGTTGGTCACCGGCTACAATGGGACTGCATCTCCTTACGATGCTCCACTGTCTTGTGGATCAGATCTTTCTGTCAAAGGCTCCGGATGTGGCCCTGTGTGAAGACCACCTGTTTCGGTTTGGGCACTACTAATATACATTCCTTCTGCCGATCGATTGGCTTCTTACACTGGGATTTGTTTTGGCAGTTTAATCACAATAGCAACTCAAACCGATGGACAAATGTGCTAGGTCCTATTTTGCATATGACTGACTAGTTAAGCTACTGAATACATGTAGCCATTAACTTGTTCAACGGGTATGATGTTTTTGTTAATGATCTGTAATATCCCATTATTGAGATTCAGGATCTCAATTGATCAGTCTTTATTAGCATATATGTAACTTAAACGGATTGTCTCAATTTTGCTTTTGTCACAAGTCCTAGTATATTTCGGTGTAATAGTTAAAAGTATGTTACTTTAGTTATGAATGAATTAGAATTAGAGATTTGTAAGTAATAATAATAATAATAATATATATATATATATATATATATATATATATATATATATATATATTCTGAAAATAATATTTACAGAACTCACACCAGTTTACAGGCATGATCAGATTGTTATAAAAATCAACATTTAATGTAGAGAGCAAACATGAAATATAAGAAAGTTTTATGTTTGCTGGTTTAGTAATTGATAAATAGTTTATATATGGCAGGCCAATGCAACACCAGGGAACTTGTCATTTTTTCTTAAGTGGATAGCCTGGTGTTCTGTAAGGTTATTTCTAGTGCCAAAGCGAGTTATTGATAATTATCTACAACTAGAGAAAGTAAGATTAAAGCAAAGAGCACGGAACAACAAAACAATGATAGCAAGTAAGAGGTTAAACATTTAAATTTCCGATAATCTCACTAGTGGAGTAAGATACACTTGCAGGCGCTAGAGCATTTAATGCATTTTCAGAGGAGCAAAAGGCATTAATTGAGCGAACAAACAATGGGAGAGAGTTTAACATACGGGTAGTTTGAGGTAAATTACTCCAGAGCCTAGAAAACTTACGGGCAAAGTAATTCATATAGAGGGAAGATCTAGAATATGTTTGTTTGGCTAAAGACAAGGAGTTACGAATGTCGTAATGTGAGGCTTTAGCGTATTGAATCGCCTGGCTGGATGTGAAGGAGAGTTTGTTAAGTATTTTGAAAAAGAAGATAAGGTTAAGTTTGAGTCTCCTCTTCCATAAAGGGTCAAGCCCTAGTTTACTACACCTCGAATTATATGTCAAGACACTATCAGTTCCAAGAGTAAGAAGTGTAAATCGTCTCTGTACTGATTTCAGTCTTAATTTATCCTTTATGCGCGTGCTACTAAGGAGAAACGCGCAGTTTTCGAGGAGTGGTCGAACACAGACTTTGTACATTAATATACGAGATTCACTGTTATGAAGTTTTCGAGTTATGTAACCTATAAGGCGTTGAGACTTGGACGTTTGTTTCATTATCTGTTCAGTAAACGACAAGTCGTCGGAGTACCTAAGTCCTAGATCTACTACTGTGTGTAACCTAGATAACATTTCACCATTTATGGTAAGATTGGGGTTGAGTGATGTATCAGCAAAGCATAACCAACCATATTTAGCTGTATTCAGCTCCAGTTGCCATTTCGAGCACCACTGTGCTACATTGTTAAGCTCCGAGCTGATACAATTTTGAATATTGCTCAGCTCATGTGGAGAAAATGAATACACCACCTTAAGATTGTCTGCAAACAAAAGGGATTTACCTACACTAAAACACTCACAAATATCATTAACGAAAACTAAAAAGAGCAAAGGACCTAAGACACTACCCTGAATTACCCCACTTCTAACAGGGACGGCATTCGACAATGAAGAGTTGATTTTAACTATTTGATGTCGATTGCTGAGGAAGGAATCAAACCAGGCTAGTAACGGGTTTTGGACCCCATAAGATGCGAGTTTACCTATGAGAAGTTTGTGGTTGACCATGTCGAAGGCCTTAGAAATGTCCAGGTATAGCAATAGTACTAGATATCCTTGGCTACGAAGAGAATAGACTAAATTAAAGAAGTCAAAATGACATGTCATACAAGATCGATTTTTAAGAAATCCATGTTGCGAATCATCAATAAATTGTTCAGTCAATAAATAGTTGGATAGTTCGTCATTAATAATCTTCAGTAGTGTCGAAGAAGCCTCCAAAAACACACACCATAAATAGCAAATCACAGTTTTCTACATAGCAAAACTGGACAATTACTTTCTAATCAATTAACGATAATCAATAAGTGATAAGAACCTGTATATCAACAATTAATACATTAAACGATTGCTTACAAAAATAAAACAATCATGAAAATAAATTCATTTACTATTGTTTGTTTGAATCTTCCCATCGATGTGTTAGGATTGGAACTGGTCAGTCTCTAATTGGCATATGTGCATACTGTGCGTATTGCCTCGATATAGCCTAAATTCACAAGCATGATAAACAAAGTTGGAGAGTGACTAGCAGTGGAATCCAGTTTGACGCGCGTTTCGTTCTATTTGGGACTCGTCAGCTGGATGTACCTGCATCTCAGAGTTGCTGTTCACTCTGGGACTCGAACCCAGTACCTTTCTCTTCAAACGCCATCGTGTTATCCACTTGGCCACTGAGTCCTCATAACCACTTGCTTTTGCGATGGGATGAAGTTTAAATTCATGTAGTATTGTTTGTTTGAAAATATTATAAATCAAATATTTAATAGTTACATAATAGAGATAACTCCGCCTGTAGCTCTTCTAGAGTTACTGCCGGTCCCAAGCCCGGGTAAAGGAGGAGGGTTGGGCATGGGGTTAGCGACCCCATCCCGTAGAAAAGCTAACTCGCTAAAAAAACGCTAACCAGAAAAAATAATCCAAACCATTTAAACTCTGCCCTGGGAGTTGAAGGAATAATGACGTCTCATGATGAAAGCCGAAATTCTTCGGAAGTCACGAGACCGATGCACCTTCTAACAACCAGAGCAACACTCTTTATAGGTACATGGAACGTCCGGACAATGTGGGAAACAGGAAAGACCAGCCAAATAGCAATGGAAATGAGGAGATACAACTTGGCAGTACTCGGAATCAGCGAAACCCATTGGACACAAACTGGACAACAAAGGCTAGGTACAGGAGAGATGCTGCTGTACTCCGGTCACGAAGGGGAAAATGCTCCACACACTCAGGGAGTTGCTCTAATGCTGTCCAGAGAAGCACGAAATGCACTTGTGGGATGGGAATCTCATGGACCCAGGATAATCAAAGCATCATTCAGAACAAAGAAGCAAGGGATCACAATGAATGTTATCCAATGTTATGCACCCACCAATGATAGCAACGACGATGATAAAGATCAGTTCTATGAAAGGCTGCAATCAATTATAGCAAAGTGCTCACGAAAGGACCTCACCATCCTTATGGGAGATCTAAATGCTAAAGTTGGAGTGGACAACACAGGATATGAAGATGTAATTGGACGACATGGACTAGGAGAGAGAAATGAAAATGGGGAGAGACTTGCAAACCTATGTGCTTTCAACAAATTGGTTATAGGCGGCACAATATTCCCACACAAACGCATACACACAGCTACATGTATCTCATCGGACCACACCACAGAGAACCAGATTGATCACATCTGTATCAACAAAAAATTCCGAAGATCAATGGAAGATGTGAGAACCCGGAGAGGAGCTGACATAGCTTCAGATCACCACCTGGTTGTGGCCAAGATGAGACTGAAGCTAAAGAAAGACTGGACAACTGGACAAACAGCACTACAAAGGTTTAATACAGCCTTCCTTCGAGATACTGACAAACTCCATGAATTCAAGATAACTCTCAACAACAGGTTCCAAGCTCTACAGGATCTACTGAAAGAACAAGAAACTACTTTGGAGGACAACTGGAAAGGGATAAAAGAAGCACTAACTTCAACGTGTCAGGAGGTTCTTGGTCCTAAGAAGCCTCATCACAAGGAATGGATCTCTCTGGGAACCCTGGACAAAATTCAAGAAAGGAAGAACAAGAAACTAGCAATTAACAACAGCCGAACACGAGCAGAGAAAGTCAAAGCACAAGCAGACTACGCAGAAGCAAACAGAGAAGTGAAGAAAAGCATTAAAGCCGACAAGCAGAAATACATGGGAGAACTAGCAACGGCGGCGGAAAAAGCTGCAAGAGAAGGGAATATGAAACAACTATATGATACAACGAAGAAATTGGCAGGGAGATATAGCAAACCAGAGAGACCAGTCAAAGACAAAGAAGGAAAGACAATCACTGAGATTCAGGAACAGAGGAAAAGATGGGCAGAATACTTTGAGGAACTGCTGAATAGACCAGCCCCATCGAATCCACCGAACATCGAAGCAGCCCACACTGACCTTCCAATAGATGTCACTCCACCAACGATCGAAGAAGTCAAGATGGCCATCAGACAAATCAAAAGTGGGAAGGCGGCAGGACCTGACAATATACCAGCAGAAGCACTGAAGTCAGACATTGAAATAACTGCAAACATGCTTCACCTTCTATTCAAAAAGATTTGGGAAGAGGAACAAGTGCCAACGGACTGGAAAGAAGGATATCTCATCAAGATACCAAAGAAAGGAGATCTGAGCCAATGTGAGAACTACAGAGGCATCAGTTTGTTATCAGTACCAGGAAAAGTTTTCAACAGAGTGCTACTGAATCGGATGAAAGACACAGTAGACGCCGAACTTAGGGATCATCAGGCTGGATTCCGTTAGGATCGGTCGTGCACAGACCAGATTGCGACACTACGGATCATCGTTGAACAATCATTTGAGTGGAACTCATCACTATACGTCAACTTCATTGACTATGAGAAGGCGTTTGACAGCGTGGATAGGAGAACAGTGTGGAAACTTCTTCGACACTATGGAGTTCCTCAGAAGGTCGTCAAAATTATCCAAAACTCATACGATGGATTACAGTGCAAAGTGGTGCATGGAGGACAGCTGACAGATGCATTTCCAGTAAGGACCGGAGTCAGACAAGGCTGTCTACTCTCCCCATTTCTCTTCCTTCTAGTGATTGACTGGATTATGACGAATTCGACATCTGAAGGGAAATACGGAATACAATGGACTTCTCAGAATCAATTAGATGATTTGGACTTCGCAGATGACCTAGCCCTCCTCTCTCATACACACGAGCAAATGCAGATGAAGACAGCAAATGTAGCAGCAGCCTCCGCATCGATAGGCCTCCACATTCACAAAGGAAAAAGCAAGATTCTCAAATGCAACACGGAGAACACCAACCCAATCACACTTGATGGCGAAACTCTGGAAGAGGTGGAAACATTCAAGTACCTGAGGAGCATCGTTGATAAACAAGTAGGATCGGATGCAGATGTAAAGGCAAGGATTGGCAAAGCAAGGGCAGCATTTCTACAATTGCAGAACATATGGAACTCAAAACAACTCTCAACCAATTTCAAGGTTAGAATCTTTAATACGAACGTCAAGACAGTCCTACTGTATGGAGCTGAAACGTGGAGAACTACTACGGCCATCATCAGGAAGGTACAAGTATTTATAAACAGTTGTCTTCGCAAAATACTCAACATCCACTGGCCGGATACTATCAGCAACAGCGTTTTATGGGAGAGGACAAACCAGCTTCCAGCTGAAGAGGAAATTAGGAAAAGACGTTGGAAGTGGATCGGACATACATTAAGGAAATCACCAGACTGCATCATGAGGCAAGCGCTAACTTGGAATCCGGAAGGGAAGCGGAAAAGAGGAAGGCCAAAGAACACACTACGCCGGGAAATAGAAGCCGATATGAAAAGGATGAATGTTAACTGGAAAGAACTGGAAAGGAAGGCTCAGGACAGAGTTGGATGGAGAATGCTGGTGAGCGGCCTATGCTCCTCGACGAGGGGTAACAGGCGTAAGTAAGTAAGTAAGTACATAATAGAGATAGAGACAATACTTTTCAAGGTTTCAACTTTCTTAATATTTATTTGATATTTTACAAACTATATAACATATTAACTTGTATCTAATTCCGTTTTATTTCTATTGTCTCACTATGTAACATTCTTTGATCCACATGATAATTACAATGATTACTATTGTGATCATCATAGTTCACATGAATTTTCTCTATTGATTATAATTCATTGAGATTTATTCTTTCTTACATTGAATAATATAATTTATAAATCTATAAATTGTATATTCGACATGGTATTTACTACATTCAATCAATACTTCCATGTTTGTGTTAGTCATGGTGATAATTTATTGGTTTTTGTTACCAATATAAATAATATTCTGACGGTGTTTATTTATGTTCGTTAGTAAAACAATCTGTTGTGTTCCATGGTTGTCTTATTCTAATAATGATATACATACACCTTTTATATAATACGTGCCCAAACTAGTTAATTGATTGAGAAAACCAAGAATGAGTAGGAAGATTTTATTGAGTAACCCTAATAGAAAAAATATGCACAATTCATTCATATATATATATATATCCCTTGCAAAATTAAACCAGATGTTCAACTAATGGCATTTGATTGTTTCTTTAGAAAATTAAGTCAAATATTGACCAACAACTGGAGTCCGTTAACATTTTTAACTTATCATTTAGCTTTCATCAGATCGGTTCAGCGTATCAAAATCAGTATGTTGGTAACACATTAGTTGGTTAACTGTGAAAATTAGTCCAATTTTCTTTAAATAGTTTTGCTGTTCTACTGTTAAAGTCGATTCAGTTTGTGATATCAGTATAGATGAAATTTGTTTGTCTAGTTTTATTTGAATGCTACTAGAATTTTTCTCACTCTGTACGAATTTATAATATAAATATTTATCAGAAAGGGCTTTGTGGAGATTTTAGTAATTTTATGGAGTTGAGATCATGAGTCAGTTGAAGCTAGACCACCATGTAAAACCTGGAAGCACTGGACGGCCATTTCGTCCTATTATGGGACTCCTCAGCAGTGCGCATCCACGATCTCGCCTCGCGAGATTCGAACTCCTTCTGATAATAATAATCATATGCACATTAGTGATTGACTTTAAGAGGTAAATCCTGGAGTTCTAGTGAGAAGCAGTGACCAGTGGAGTTCAACCACGTCTTTTAAGATAGATAGGAACTCACTGAAGACAATTGGTGAACGGTTGTTCAACTTCGTGAATTGGTTGAAGTTAGACATTAACACCGTTGGGTGCCGGCTCAGTGGTCTATCGGTTAAGTGTTCTGGCGCGAGACTAGTAGGTTCAAATCTCGCGAGTGCGGGATTACAAAAGAAATAACCCTTATTTATTATGTATTCTTTAGATTTGTTAAAATACCTTAACGTACTACTATAAATAAGAAGTCTTAATCTCTACCAAGTCAGGTCATTTATTGTACAATAATGAAAGCGATATAACGGATGATTTAAAATATATTTCTCTTTCTCAAATACATTACGATAATGAGTCTAGTCACGTTATATCAGATCCAGGATTCACGACCTGGAATAGAGAATCAGAGTATAGAGTAAACAATAGTCAGTTGGCTATATACCTGTTTGCCCACGCTCAGTAACCAGTCATGTTTTATTTTTCTCTATCACATATCAGAAAATAGTGGTGGCTGTAATTTATTAATAGTTAAACAGGAATCAATCGTTACTGAGTTAAATTGAAACTCAAAATTAGCATAGAGTAAAAGACCACATTGCATTACGCATGTTATTCCTCTTGAAGGAGCATAGTCCGCCCAACAGTACTACATTCTGGAGTAGTTATACTTATTTATTTACTTAAAAACATATATATTGGTACAAAGGGGCACCAGATATATATGCGCCACACAAATCTCATTTGATTTGTGTGAGGGCTGTGATACTGCGCATGTGCCCAAACTGAAGCAGGTGGTTTTCTTAGGGGGCCACACCCGGAGCCTTTGACCTAAAGGTCTAGTCCGCAAGGCAGTGGAGCATCGTGAGGCGATGCAGTCCCATGGGAGCCGGTGACCAACGATTCATTCACATGCCATTTGTTCCTTCAGGATACTGGAACCCATGTGTACCATTGGTTTGGAATCAGGGTTTTCTAACTCCTCGAGGTGGACTTTTCGTGTCCACCAACCCGTTTAAAGCGCCGGACATTCGTTTTTCATCCTCTCAATTTCGTAAACAACAGTGATACCACGAGAAGGCAATTAGTAGGACTTCCCTGTCAGAGGTTATATATTCGCGTGGCCATATGAGAGCATTTCGAGAGAGAGCAGACTCTCCCCACTCTCGGCCGTACTAGGGCATTTGGGAGCAGAGTGGTTATAATTGTAAACTTCTTAATATTGCCTTCTAGATCGATTCATTTGATCAGTGAAACGTGTAACTACAGTTAATGAATGAAATAAATGATCACAATAAAAAAATACAAAAATAATTCCAAGTATTTCATTCACCTTTGATGGAGTTTTGTTCTCTGAGCTGGATGGTTTTGTCTTGGAGCTTTCATCATCCTTCTAAACGACATCGTTAGCACAAACGTCGGGTAGAAGGATGATGAAAACTCCACGACCAAACCATCCAGCTCAGAGAACAAAACTCCAAAATCATCCACCTGAGCTACAAATCTCCACCATCTCATTTCATTCACTTCTTTCTCTCTCTCTCTCTGCAAATTATTCATTGAAATCAAACAAATAATTTTCAAAGTTCCTCACTTCTCCCTACATGTTTATTCATTCATTTCCCTTAAAATTCTGTTTTATATTTTGCCTCATATTCATTATTATCATTTCTTTTTGTTGAAACAAATTAACATTCATTTATAGCTAAAACATTGGAAGAACAATTAGAAGAAGAGATCGCCCGTGAAGTTGATGAACTTGTCTTAACTAAATCAGAGAATAATTCCATTCATCCAAATAATAATAACAATAATGATGATATATCTATGACAGATGAAATTGATGAAGAATTAGAACTGGAAATATTAGCTGAATTAGAAGGTGGTGATAATGTTATCGATCATTCTGCTCATTGTAATGATAATGTCAAAGAAGTTAATCCTTAATAATAGATGTTGTACAAGTGGGGAAATCATGTTAAATGAAAACATTAAAAAGTTGAAAAAAATTAATCGAAAACACACTTTGATTCCCTTTTTAATGTTATTGAACATTTAAAATACAATGAGAAGTTTTTCTTTCTTTTGTATAAACAAAAAGCAGCTAACCGTAATTATCTTTGATATATATACGTTATTGTTTCTTTTTTTGCAAGTAATTTGCCCCCCCTTTTTGGCAAATTAAATGAAACATTGGTCATCTGATTATCATTGATAACGATGATAATGTTGCCTGGGTGTGTGTGTGCGTGTGTGATTGCATTGTGTTTGTTTTTCCTCTTAATTTGTTCATTGTGTGCGTATGTGATGTATTCACCACTTTCCTTTTCACTCTTTTTTTGTTCACATATCAATTAGTGATCACTATGTTATCATTTCGCTTGTTTATTTGATTTTTTCTTCTCCCTCAAATCACCTTTTTTTTTTTAAACATATAGTCGTTAATTCTTAAAATGTTTTCAACTGTATTGGAAGGTTTAATTATTATTTGTCTTCATTAATGATGTAATAAAGTTGCTTTACGTAACTAAGTTTTTCATAGTTGAAAGCGTTAGTCAATTAAAGCTAGACCACCATGGAAAACCTGGAAACACTGGACGGCCGTTTCGTCCTATTATGAGACTCCTCAGCAATGCGTACCCACGAACCCGCACTCGCGAGATTCGAACCCAGGACCTACCAGTCGCGAGCCTGAGCCCTTAACCGATAGACCACTGAGTTGGCATCCAACGGTGTTAATGTCTAACTTCAACTGATCCATGAAGTTGAGCAACCATTCACCAATTGTCTTCAGTGAGTTCCTATTTCAGGACAGACGTGGTTTGAACTCCACTGGTCACTGCTTCTCACTAGATCTCCTGGATATACTTCTCGAAGTCACTAGTGAGCATATGATTATATTAATTATTAGAGTGTATATCATATATACATGTATATCAGTCAGTTAGTCATAAGTGTAATGTAGAATCTAACGCATATTTCCATTGATTCAAGTTCCCATATCAATATTAATACAGCCAAAGTAGTGTAATTAGTATTAACAATATCATTAAAATAGTAGAAAACAATTTCGAACTATATCTGAGGGAAGACAAGGAGTGAATAGATCTACTCCATTATGGCGGTTTCTGAACTAATTCACTCACCGTCTCCAATTGCTAATCACAATAAACAGACAAATATTAACCAAGTTGGTCTACACCAACCTAACCAGGATCAAATCATCAGTCGACGAATTTCATAAGGCCTCGGTTTGCTCGCCCCCATGTTTTTAAACTAATCCTATTCAAGTAAACATTCACCGAAGTAGGCGGTTATTGTGCATTACAACGACATATTTATTACCCAGAACACCTTTTAATAATGAACAAATACTTCAACTTCATATTAATTTATATTTTACAAATATTGACTCCAGCAAGATTAATACGTAGATTTCATTATTACAATAAAAAATCTCTATGTGATGACAGATTGTGGGTTGATTTTTTTATTCACTAAACTAAGCGACTAGGTATCGGGTCATTGGATTGCAACAGAATTGATACAATTCGCTCGGTGAGCAGATGACAAGTTATATATTGTAAAGTTTGCGGGATACGAATTTCTCGGGTTTTCACATAATGTATCATGATAATAACAAGATTATGGTTACTGTTCGACACATGTTATATGGAATTAACATGTGCATCAGAAAGAGAATCTGTTAATCACCAGTTTTTCAATGGTTGCATAGCTTAACAATGTAAGATTTATTCAGCCTACAAATGTATTATGTGGGCATATTTTTTTCGAGATCTCTAGCCAGGATCTGTGATAATCTATAACTAGGATAAATAATAACTTGGCATTTAATATAGTGGATAGATGTGTTGTGGAGATTATTCAATTTTATGGTTTATATCACGAACCGATCTTAGATAACTATTGAACACCAGGAAGCACTGGAGAATCTTATCGTCCTAATATGGGACACTAGAACAGTGTGCAATAACAGTCCGATCGAGGATTAAACCCCAAATCCTTTAGGCCTCACAGCACTTAACGTTTAGATCACTGACACATAATCTATTCACAAGTAATATTGTTCAGCCATCTGCCAGTGCCATTCATGTATAACTGATTCAACTTACACCATTGAACTTTACCGACCATAGCTCCTCACTAGAACTCCTAGGATTGCTCCTCGAAAATAGCTACTAGTGAGGACATTATCATTGATGAATCGTGGGTGTTCGCTACTGAGTTTTTCAGTGGTTATTCACCTGAGATTGGTATTTATTCTTCTCTCTGTTTCTGAAACTCTAAATTATTAGAATTAGTATGGAAGTTATTCAACAAATATACATCGAGTAGAATTGTTAGAAGAATAGACAAAGTAACAGCTATAATATATTTAAAGATATTTCTATGCTCATCCATTGATTACTAAGCAAATACAAGATTTGTTGAGGTCACAGAAAGGTATTTGTGAATTATAAGTACCTTATAAGCATATCTAATAAAATTGTCCATATGCATAGAGTATTGTTAATTAGTAGTAATTGGTAGTGCCGGATACTCTCAGCAACAGCGTTTTATGGGAGAGGACAAACCAGCTTCCAGCTGAAGAGGAAATAAGGAAAAGACGTTGGAAGTGGATCGGACATACATTAAGGAAATCACCAATGTGCATCACGACTCAATCCCTAACTTGGAATCCGGAAGGGAAGCGGAAAAGAGGAAGGCCAAAGAACACACTACGCCGGGAAATAGAAGCCGATATGAAAAGGATGAATAGCAACTGGAAAGGAAGGCTCAGGACAGAGTTGGATGGAGAATGCTGGTGAGCGGCCTATGCTCCTCGACGAGGGGTAACAGGCGTAAGTAAGTAAGTAAGTAAACAACGTACGTCTGAATCCACCTAGTGAGTGTTGGAGAAGACCGAGTCAACAAGAACAACTGTTGTACAAAACACTCTAGCATTCTTACAGGGCATCTAGCTTACTATGTACACACAGGATTGGTTAACCGATCAAGAAATTCAGGATACTGACATGGAAATAAACAGCATATGATTACTAACAAAATTCACCAGTGCATTTATTTCTCAACAATTAAAGAAAAGTAACCATCATGCTTTTTTGTAAAACAACTTGAGGCTGATAAGACTACAGATAAATAAAAATCACATGTGACGTAAGAAATCAATCGTATGATTAAACATTCTTGAAAATACTAAAATCAAATCAACTGTTAAACCGAATCCTTTTACATTTCAACTAGATTTACTTACTACTTATTTATTTATCAATAGTTAAAATTAATCAACGAAAATAATACGATTAAATGAGGTACCATTTATCACTGGTAATAACCATTTAGAAAATTGAGATTAATTAAAACAAACAGATGTCTTTGTTATTTTTTCTTATGGTTGAAAGCGTGAGTCAATTGAAGCTAGATCATCATGGGAAACCTAGAAGCACTGGATTGCCGTTTCGTCCTATAATGAGACTCCTCAGCAGTGCGCATCCATGATCCCACCTAGCGAGATTCGCAACCAGGACCTACCAGCCTCGAGCCATAGCCCTTAACCGATAGACCATTGGGCCGGCATGCAACGTTGTTATTGTCTAAATTCAACTGATCCAAGAAGTTGAGCGACCGTTCACCACTAGTCTTCAGTGAGTTGATATCTCCCAACAGACATGGTTTGAACTCCACTGCTGAGGAGTTCCATAATAAGACGAAACAATCGTCCAGTGCTTCCAGGTTTTCCATGATGGTCTAGCTTCAATTGACTCACGCTTTCAACTATGAAAATACTGAATCTCTGCAAAACCCCTTCTGATAATTTTTTCTTATTTTTATAAAAAGATTGTTTCATATAAAACTGTAGAATGCAATAATAATTCAAGATATAAATGTTTTTATCTATGAAAGGAAAAGATAGAACATAAAATATCAGTTTGTTATCATTGAGACGAGATAATTCAGATAGTTTGTTTTACTTCACAATTATGTTAAATGAACAAATGACTTTTATTTTGAAGCAGATAATTCAAACTTTTGGAGCCAATTATTAAAAAAAACAGCAATATTAAGTACACTGTTTGGCTAAGGCATTCAGTTTTCCACCCCCTAGTTTCCAGGTTCGAACCCTGTTTTAGTTGCTTCGATCTGAGCAACTGGATAGTATCACTAGCGATCACACTTAGATTATGGTTTATATCCAGGCACCTAGTTATTTATTTCGTTAAAAAAATCCACGTAATGTTATTTGTACAATGAATTTCACGAATCTTTGAAGCCAACAATTTTAACCTTTGGTCAAATTCAAGGGGATTACTCAGCTTTATCAGCAGAATGATTACAGTCACTAAAATGCAAACGTTCTAACCCACCCTTATGATTCTAAACTTTCGCGTTCATATTCGAAAATGCACTATTTTGTTTCAAGGCTAGAATATTGCATTTCAGGTTGAACCTCTTGGACGCCTATACTTTCACTTTTGCAAATATCACATAGTTCAACTAATTAATCATGTATGTTTACTGCCTAAGTTACCTAATTGTTTTATTACAGATTTTATAACGTTTAACGGAGAAAATCGGTCTTTAATTTCAAGCAGAACCATTCTTGCTCATCATATTCTCATCATGAGAAACCAGAATAGATTGTTTTCAGGATTCATACATCATATTTATTCTGTGATTTTAAAAGATTTCAAAGCAGGAAAATCAGTTTTTTTGTATCTAACCTCCCTTGAATGGTATGGTTTTGATATGTTGAGTGGTCATTAAACTGGAAAATATTCCACCAGTACATATTTCTGCTGAGAATTCGGCGAGACTATAATTTAAAACCCTTCAAAATTCTTTGTGAACAGCTGATTATTACATAACCAACATCAATCTTACAGTAGAATGTTCAATGAATAAATAACTTTCAACGGTAAACTACATCGACTTGGAATTGTTTACTTGAATCATCCCATCGATATTTAGCACTGCAATTGATCAGTCTCTTATTGGCATATGTGCATACACCCAGTTGATTAGCCCCGAATAGGATGGAATGCGCGTCCTGGATTCCACTGCTAGCCACTATCAATCTTCGCTTAGTAAACTATATGATTTGTTACCTAATTACTTCATAAAGCTTTATGTCAACTTAAGCAAAACCTTTCCCTCCACTACCTCACAAAAGTTTTGAAAATAGAGTTAAGCTACTCAGATAGCTACTTTGAAAGGCAATTTTATAACCTTGGTCACAAGAAATTGTCCAGCCTTAACATTACCTTCAGTTTGACATACATACTAATAATATCCTTTCTTTTTTATTATTCAACTCAAACACATTTATAAGTCATCCATTTTTTTCGGTAAAAGGATTTGTGGAGATTGTAGCATTTTCTCAGTTGAAATCACGACAGAATGTCTTACTTTCGAGTCCTACGTATGAGATCGTGGATATGCACTGCTGAAGGATCCCACACTAGAATAAAACGGCCTTTCAATCCTTCCACATTTTCAATACCAG